TTTTTTGAGACAGAGTCTCGCTTTGTTGCCGCAGGCTAGAGTGAGTGCCGTGGCGTCAGCCTCGCTCACAGCAACCTCAAAACTCCTGGGCTCAAGCGATCCTCCTGCCTCAGCCTCCGAGTAGCTGGGACTCACAGGCATGGCGCCCATGCCCGGCTAATTTTTTTCTATATATTTTTTAGTTGGCCAATTATTCTCTCTATTTATAGTAGAAGACGGGGTCTTGCTCTTGCTCAGGCTGGTTCCAACTCCTGACCTCGAGCGATCTCCCACCTCGGCCTCCCAGAGTGCTGGGATGACAGGCGTGAGCCGCCGCCGCCCGGCCTTGGTGTTTGGAATTCTTCATATTAACAAAGTATGTGTAAAGTCCTCAGCCCCGTGCCCTGTGTCCTCTTGAGCAGGGTGATCACAGCTAGGAACCCGTGGAGAATATTCCCCCAGGGAGAGCGCCAACATCTGGTCCCATCCACCCCACACCCGTTCTTGGCGGCTTCCACACTGCCGGGGGCTGAGCCCACCCCATCTTTGCAATAACCCCACGTCCTCCGTTGCAAAACTCCTTCCCCGCCAGTTCCAGGGCCAAGCGCCCGAGAGATCAGATCTCGCCTCTGCCCTCCCAGAAAGATGCGACCGACATCAACATCCGCCCGCTGGGGACTGCAGGCTGTGGGGTCAGCGGCTCGCATCACGACTTGGCTTCTTTTTTCCCCTTTGGTGAATTGGGTTCAGCCAGTTCTGGGGATGGCCAAACCCGGCTCTCATGATGGGGCTGTGGTTTGGAGACTGGCTGGAGGCCCAGCCCGGAGGCCCGGCTGACAGCTGGGGGAGGTGAGGGGCCAGTGGGGAAGCCCTGGGATTGGATAGGTGCCCCAGATGCAGAAATAATAAATGCCTGTGAGTCTGGACTCCTCGAGGACATTGGAGTCCAGCCATGATCACAACTGGGTGGATTATTCCCGTGGCCTGGGTGGAGCCTCTGCTGGGGAGGCTGAGGGCAGGTGAGGGAGGCAGCAGGAGCTCAGGCCGCCACTGTCCCCAGCTCACCCAGTGCTTTCCACATGCTAGGCACTGCCCTAAGCCCTGTACCAGTATCACCTTGTTTAACCTTCACAGTCACAGGAACCCTACACACCTGGCACTATTCTCCCATTTTAAGGATGAACAAAATGAGGACTAAAGGGAAAGCCACTTGTTTAAGCTATTAATAGTATAAAGCAGCTCAACAGGGATCAGCAAACTTCTTTTTTTTTTTTAAGACATTCCCACTCTGTGGCCCTGTCTAGAGTGCTGTGACGTCAGCCTCGCTCACTGCAGCCTCCAACTCCTGGGCTCAAGCGATCCTCCTGCCTCAGCCTCCTAAGTAGCTGGGACTACAGGTACGCACCACCCTACCTGGCTAATATTTCTATTTTTAGTAGAGACAGGGTCTCACTCTTGCTCAGGCTGGTCTCAAACTCCTAACCTCAAGAGATCCTCCACCTTGGCCTCCCAGAGTGCTAGGATTACAGGCATGAGCCACTGTGCCGGGCCCCTGGCTAATATTTTTTTTTTTTTTTTTTGGGACAGAGTCTCACTCTGTTGCCCAGGCTAGAGTGAGTGCCGTGGCGTCAGCCTAGCTCACAGCAACCTCCAACTCCTGGGCTCAAGCGATCCTCCTGCCTCAGCCTCCCGAGTAGCTGGGACTACAGGCATGCATCACCATGCCCGTCTGATTTTTTCTATATATATTAGTTGGCCAATTAATTTCTTTCTATTTATACTAGAGACGGGGTCTCGCTCTTACTCAGGCTGGTTTCGAACTCCTGACCATGAGCAATCCGGCCCCCTCGGCCTCCCAGAGTGCTGGGATTACAGGCGTGAGCCACCCTGCCCGGCTGATTTTTTTTTTTTTTTAATTTTGTAGATACGGAGGTCTCGCTATGTTGCCCAGGCTGGTCTCAAACTCCCAGCCTCAAGCATTCCTCCTTTCTGGGCTTTCGACAGTGCTGGGATTACAGGAGTGAACCACCTCACCGAGCCTGCATATCTCAAGTATACTAAATGCCACTAAATGGCACAATTTACAGTGGTGAATTTTATGGTAGGTGAATTTCATCTCAAAAAAAAAAATAGTTTTGCCATGTGTTGAAAAAACAAAACAAAAAAATGATTAGAACAGACATCCCGGCTGATAGGCTGTGGTTTGCTGACTCCTGCTCCGAGTCATCCCTTAACAAACCCAGAGCCAGGCCGGGCGCGGCGGCTCAGGCTTGTCATCCCCGCATTTTGGGAGGCCGAGGCGGGAGGATCTCTTGGGCAACAGAGGGAGACCCTGTTTCTACATAACAAACAAACAAACAAAAAACACAGAGTGGAATAAAAAAAAAACACAGGCAGCTAAAATATTAGCTCAGAGAGCCCCACAGACGGCTGTTTCCCCTGTGACTGTCGGGTGACATCAGTGCTAGCACAGGGGACCGACTCTGAACTCGACCCCACGCCCAGCCCTGTCCCCGGCTCCTTCTCCCCTGGCCGGGTCCCAGCCCCGCCGGGGCGGCCGGGCGAGGGGCTGTGCCAAGGCCGGGCCCGAGACAGCTGGCCCCACGCCCTGGTCAGGGGCTGCTCTGGGGACAGCCCTGGTCTGCCGCAGCCTCCCCCGGCAGGTGGGAGGGACACCGGGCTGGGGAGTGATTCACTGCGGGATTCCCAGCCTTCCCCGGGCCTCCCGGGCCGGCCCGGCCCAGGCGTGTCGGCATGTGGGCGCAGGAGCCTGTGCGCGTGTGTTTCGGGGCCCACCCCCACCCCCAGACTGACCCCGCATCCTCAGTGGGGTCTGGGTTTCCGTGCATGCAGCAACCCCTCCCTGCCGCCCACTGGGTCCTGAGCCTGTGCCCGGCGCTTCCGAGCACCCCCCCTCCCAGAGAACCTGGCGCCTCCTAGCCTGGGACAGACGGAATCAGACAGAGACAGTCCCAGCCCTGCAAGCCCAGGCCTTGGACAAACGAAGGAACCCCAAGCCACAGAGCTGGGAGAAAGAAAGGGGAGAAAGGGAGCAATCGGGAAGGCTTCCTGGAGGAAGAGTTCCGCCCCAGAAGGTCACACATCCCAGGTAGACCCTGCGGAAAATGCCGGCCACCTGGGACATGCCCTTGGCTGGGCACAGCTCAGCCTCTGCCCCGACTCCCAGCTTTAAAAGGAAATCAACACTGCCGGGCTGGCTGGCCCAGGAATTCCTGGGTGTGAAGTTGTCTGAGGCCAGTCCTCCAACGTCTCCCCATCGGGAAGGGTCATAATTACTCCCGTCTGACCCAAGCCTGGGCTGGCGCCCTGGCAGCCTCAGCCTGGGTTATTGGAATCACGCACTGGGTTTGGTGTCGCACCCTATTCTGGGTTCTAGCTGTGAGACCTTGGGCAAGTTCCCTAACCTCTCTGAGCTCAGCCTCCCCCTGGGTAAAATGAGGATAAATGGGGGGCAGGGATTAAATAAAACCACAAGGGCCCCCCACAACCCCTGTCAGGAGGGAGAACAGAGGAGCATGGCCGGGCACGGTGGCTCACGCCTGTAATCCTAGCACTCTGGGAGGCCGAGGCGGGAGGATTGCTTGAGCTCAGGAGTTCGAGACCAGCCTGAGCAAGAGTGAGACCCCGTCTCTACTATAAATAGAAAGAAATTAATTGGCCAACTAATATATATAGAAAAATAGCCGGGCATGGTGGCGCATGCCTGTAGTCACTTGGGAGGCTGAGGCGGGAGGATCACTTGAGCCCAGGCGTCTGAGGCTGCTGTGAGTGAGGCTGACGCCACGGCACTCACTCTAGGCTGGGCAACAAAGTGAAACTGTCTCAAAAAAAAAAAAAGAAAAGAGAAGGGAAGGAAGGAAGGGAAGGGAAGGAAGAAGGAAGAAGGAAGGGAAGGAAAGGAAAGGAAGGGAAGAAGGAAGGGAAGGAAGGAAGGAAGGAAGGGGAAGGAGAAGGAAGAAGGAAAGAAGAAAGAGGAAGAGAAGAGAAGAGAAGAGAAGAGAAGAGATCTTAGCACTGTATTCATCAGCGGTGCTCTGCATTCGTGTTGAATTTTTAGGACATTGCACTAAAACAATGATTTATCTGAAGAGATGAGAAGACGAGCCACCGACCAGGAGAAAATACCGGCAAAAGACCCATCTGGGAAAGGACTGGTCTCCAAAATAAAAAATAAATTAAAAAAAAAAATCTTAAAAGTCAACAATAAGAGGCCGGGCTCGGTGGCTCATGACTGTCATCCCAGCACTCTGGGAGGCCGAGATGGGAGGACGGTTTGCGCTCATGAGTTTGAGACCAGCCTGAGCAAGAGCAAAACCCCCGTGTCTACTAGAAATAGAAAGAAATAAATTGGCCAACTAAAAACACATAGAAAAAAATCAACTGGGCATGGTGGCGCATGCCTGTAGTCCCAGCCACTCGGGAGGCTGAGGCAGGAGGATCGCTCGAGCCCAGGAGTCTGAGGTTGCTGTGAACGAGGCTGTCGCCACGGCACTCACTCTAGCCTGGGCCACAGAGCGAGACTCTGTCTCAAAATAAATAAAGTGCCCAAAAATTTTATTTATCTTGTTGACCGAGATTTTCAGCGCTGCCTTAAATTCTGCACGGGCAAGGACACCTCGCCTGTCCCTGCCCTGGGGGACACCCAGCCCTGGTCATCCTCCCTGTGGTTCTACCAGGCAGAGCCCCCACCCCCCAAAATCCCTGGGAACCCAGGCTTGGAGGAGGACATCGTCTCTGACTCCCCCGGGGATTGGTCTCATTGACACTGTCCCTCAGCGCCGTGTGCCCAGCCAGAGTCCCCAGCTGGGGTGTGAGCAATGCCCCTTGGTAGCCCTCCGGGGAATCCCAGGCCTGGCTCAGGCTGGGCATTCTCGGACCCGCCCTGCGTCCCGCCCAGGGCTGAGTCCTCTGCCAGCGGGGCTCCGGGAAACTCCGCTTCCGGCGGGTTTTGGGGTGGGCGGCCCACAGGCAAGCAATTGACATGCGCAGCGGCCCGCCCCACCTGACACCCCACCTGGCCCCAGAATAAAGGGGAGCCAGACCCGCAGGCAGACAGCACTCGGCCACCACCGGCACCTGGGGAAGAGGAAGGACCTTTCACTGCCACGCCAAGTAAGCCCAGACGCCAGCTCCCAGGACAAAGCCGGGGACACCCAAGCCCTGCTCTCTGCTACCTCTGGTGGCTTGGGATCGGGGGCTGGAACCCACCGGATGAGAGGCGACATCTCCTGCTCCCTGTGGGCTTGGAGCAGGCCTCGGCGAAAACGGTCCCCAACCCCCCTACCCCCCACCTCCCACCCCGCACCTGTCCTCTGCCTGAGCCCAAGTGTCGGAGGCAAAGAAACCAGGAGGCAGAGCCAACTGGAGGCCCCTCTTTCCCTCCCCTCCCCCAGCAAACCTGGTCTTGCCAGCCAAGCGAGCCGGCAGCGGAGAGTCCCCTCTGGTGGCCAGCAGCAGCTACAGAGCTGTCGCTGCGGGGAGGTGGCAGGGCTCTTGGGATTGGCCTCAGTCTACCTTGTCCCGAGAATGGGCAGAGTTTGCTGGAGTCTGAGCTTTGTGGCCTCCAGATGCCCTCCTGGCATGGGCCTGGCTTCCTGACCCTTGGTCTCAGCCTGGGAGGGACAATGGGACAGGCTGGGGGAGACCTCGGGTCTCAGATGACCTTGACCCCAGACTCCCTGCCCCACAGCCCCGCGGCTGCCTCTGACCCTGACGGCTCTGCCATTCACCGCTGGACTTCGACCGCGGCCGGGAGCCCTGCCCAGCCCTCCAGGCCTGCCGCCTTCCAGAACCGACCGCCGGAGTTCTCCGTGGAGGTCGAGCGGGCATGTCCCCTGCAGGCTGCAAGCCCGCAATGACGGTCCAGGGTGTCCTCTGGGTTCTGCTCGGATTGCTGCTGCGGCCGGAGCCGGGGACAGGTGGGTGCGAGGGCAGAGGCCGGGGCCGGGGCTCTCACTCCGTGGAGGGGTGCCCTGCTTTCTGCGTCGGGCAGCGGACGGGCCGGGGCCGGAGACCCCGGGGCGCCCCGGCTCCCAGGTCACCTCCAGTCTGAGGATCCAGATGTTCCCAACCCCATAGGGTCAGGGCAGGGGTTGAGGAGGAGGACCCGGAGCTCCTGAGGAGCAAAAAATAGGGAAGGCTTCCTGGAGGAGGAGACATAGACGGGAACTGGCACAGGAAGAAGAATGGCGTTTGGTGGAGAAGCAGGAAAGGGCATTTTGGGCAGAGAAGAACAAAGCCGTAGCGGAATGACAGTGCGGGCTGTCTGGAGGGGAGCCTGGATTCTACGCAGCACAGTGTGGAGATTAAGACTTCCTGGGTTCAAATCCTGCCTCTGCTGCTTCTTTGCTGTGCAACCTTAGGCAGGCAACTTAACCTCTCTGTGCTTCAGATGCCTTACCTGTAAAAGGGGGCTGGTCTCGGTCCATTCGAGTTGCTCTGCCAGAATGCCTGAGACTGAGTAATTCGTAGGGGACAGGCGTTTATTTCTGTACAGTTCCGGATGCTCGGAAGTCCCGGATACCAACCCCTTGGCCTTGGACCTCCCGGCCTCCAGAACTGTGAGAAACACGTTTCTGTTCTTTGTAAACCACCCAAGCCCAGGTATTGTGTTGCCGCAGCACAAACAGGCTCGGACAGGGGCTAACAGGACCCGCCTCACAGGGGTCGTCAAGATCAAACGAGCTGGGTGGCGCACGCCTGTCATCCTAGCACCCTGGGAGGCCGAGGCGGGCAGATCGCTCAAGATCAGGAGTTCAAAACCAACCTGAGCAAGAGCGAGACCCCGTCTCTACTATAAATAGAAAGAAATTTTAACATATAATAAATAAATAAATTAATTAATTAATTAAAATTGGCCAACTAAAAATATATAGAAAAAATTAGCCGAGCCTGTAGTCCCAGCTACTCGGGAGGCTGAGGCAGGAGGCTTGCTTGAGCCCAGGAGTTGGAGGTTGCTGTGAGCAAGGCTGATGCCAGGGCATTCACTCTAGCCTGGGCAACAAAGTGAAACTCTGTCTCAAATATATATATATATATATATATATTTAGCCAGGCATGGTAGCACATGCCTGTAGTCCCAGCTACTCGGGAGGCTGAGGCAGGAGGCTTGCTTGAGCCCAGGAGTTGGAGGTTGCTGTGAGCGAGGCTGATGCCACGGCACTCTAGCAGGGGCGACAGAGTAAGAGTCTGTCAAAAAAAAAAAAAAAAAAAAGAAAAAGATTAAACGAGCTGTGGCCACCTCGGGCAGTGTGTGCAACACAGCAAATGTTTGCTGAATGTGAGCTGTTATTTAACTACCCGTCCTGGACCCGGCTCGGGGCCAGGTGACCTCGCACTTCTAGGTTCCAGGTTCAGCCACTGACTGCCCCCACATGGTGCAAGCCCCCCCTGCCGCTCCCCCTGGGCATTCTTCCCATTACCTTTCATGCTCACAGCCCCGGACTCCAGACCCAGCACCAAAAACCTGTCCTTCTTTCCCCCTCAGGATTTTGGGGGGGGCTCTCCCCACTTTTGTCCACGACACTGCCACCACCTGCCTTCGGCCACTGCCATCACTCACCATCCCCACCGTCTCCCCTTCACCACCCTCGCACCCTGAAAAGTCCATTCCCCTTTGGCAGCCAAAGGAACCGCCTTAGAATGCCAGGCTGGCCATGTCCCTCTCCTGCTCTTAAGCCTGCCATGGCTCCCCAGTGCTCACAGACAGTCTAAGCTCCTTAACCAGTAGGCAAGAGTCTGCGTGCCTCGGTTTCTTCACCTATACTAAGACAGGGAGGGAGGGGGTCCCCGGGGCTCTCAGACGAGGGAGGGGGGAGTCCGGGAGCAGGGGGAAGATGTGGAATCAGACCAGGAGGCTGGGGACTGGGTGGGGCTGGGCTGCAGGGCTGACAGGTCCTCTCTTCCCGCAGCCTCCCTGCCCCTGACTATGGACTCCGTGGTCCGGGTCCTGGAGGAAGTCGAGCAGAAGGCGCCGGCCACCGAGCGCAGCCTCAGCGCCCCGGCCTGGGTGCTGTCGCTGGGGAGCAACGGCTCCCAGCATGACTTCTACTGCTCCCTGCTGGGGCCCGGGAGCTTCTGCGCCACGGCGGAGCTGGGCCCCTCCCCGCTGAGCCCGGAGCTGCAAGGCCTGGCGGAGGCCGTGGCCCAGTACGGCGCCTGGGACGAGAACCCGTACGGGGTGGTGCTGACACCCGATGGCTCCACCGTGGCCGTGGAGCCCCTGCTGGCGGGGCTGGAGGCGGGGCTGCAGGGGCGCAGGGCCGTGAACTTGACCTTGGGCGGCACGGCTGCCCCTCCAGACCTCGTTGGGGCCCCCGCTCCAGACGTGGCGGCCCCCTCCCCGGGGGGACTCGGGGGTGCCTCTCCAGGTGCCAGCCCTGCAGGTGCCGGAGCTCCGGACTGCCCAGCGGCCTCGCCAGGTGCCGGGGCCGGGCCTCCGGCTACCGTGGACAGCCTCCTGGCGGTCACGCTGGCCAGAACCCTGGGCCTGGGCTTCCTCTACGGCCCCCAGAACCGGAGCCGCCCCGGTCTGGGAACCGAGGGCTGCTGGGACAAGCTGTCTAACCCCCGCCTCTTCACCGCCTTGGACCCCAGGGCGCCCCTCCTCAGCGTGGCCTTCCTCAATGGCGCCCTGGATGGGTTCCTCCTTGGGGACTACCTGAGCCAGGCCCCGGAGCCCCGGGCACCTCTCAGCAGCCTGCTGCGCCAGTACTACGGGCCGGCGGGCGTGTCCGGAGACCCCGGGCTGCGCAGCAACTTCCGACGGCAGAAAGGGACGGCTCTGATTTCCGCCGCCACCCTGGCCCCGCAGGTGTGGGGGGTCCTCGCCCTGATGCAGAAGCTGCGGCCCATACATTCCACGCTGCGGGACATGACCCAAGAACAGCTGGCCCAGCTGGCCAGCCGGGCTGCCAAGGAGTTCACTGAGGACTTCCTGGGTGAGGCCCCCTGCCCCCAGTGACCCTCCCCCTCACAGATGCACGCACTCCCAGCCCCATGTGGTCAAGGGAGTGCAAGGCTAGGGAGCCCAAAGGGGGCACTAAACCCTATGGTGGGCGTGGGGTGGGGCAGGACGGCTGTGCAGATGAGGAAAAGCTACAGTTGGGCTTTGAGGGATGATTAGGAGTTCATCTGGTTTTGGGGGGTTTTTTTGAGAGAGAGAGAGAGAGGGACTCACTCTGTTGCCCAGGCTGGAGTGCAGTGGTGCAATCATAACTCATTGCAACCTCGGGCTCCTGGGCTCAAGTGATCCTCCTGCCTCAGCCTCCCGAGTAGCTGGGACTACAGGCATGCGCCACCATGCCCGGCTCATTTTTTCGATTTTTAGTTGTTTGGCTAAATTTCTTTCTACTTTTAGTAGAGACGGGGTCTCGCTCTTGCTCAGGCTGGTGTCCAACCCCTGACCTCAAACGATCCTCCCGCCTCGGCCTCCCAGAGTGCTGGGATGACAGGCGTGAGCCACTGCGCCCCGGGGCCTCTGTGCCCTCCAAGGGGCATGCAGGCGCAGGCAGAGAGACGCTTGCTGACGCCGGCCTGGGACCCCCTTGTTCGTAGGATGCCCGGCCATCCACCCGCGCTGTCTCTGGGAGGCGGCGCCGTACCGGGGCACCCCGAAGCCGCTGCAGCTGCCGCTCGAGTTCCTGTACGTGCACCACACGTACGAGCCCGCGCAGCCCTGCACCGACTTCGCGCGCTGCGCAGCCGACATGCGCTCCATGCAGCGCTTCCACCAGGACGGGAACGGATGGGAAGACATCGGCTACAGGTGGGCGGGGCCGACGCGGAGGGGCGGGGCATGCGTGGGCGGGGCCCGGCTCGGGGGCGGGGCCTGGAGCCGCGGAAAGCGGGCAGCAAGGAGCAGGGGGTTCAGACGGAGTGGGTCCAGTTGGAGAGGTGGCATGGCCCAGACTGGCGGGGGGCCTTAATAGGGGCCGTGAATCGGGACAAGGCGGGACTCTAGAGTCAGGGGAGAGAACTAGGACTGGGGGAGGGACCTGGGGGAGGGACCTGGGGGAGGGGCGGGGCGTGGGGCAGGGTCCGAGTCGGGGGCAGGACGGTGGCGGGCTCAGACAGGAGAGGGCTCTGGACCGCGCAGGAGCTGGACTTGGGAAAAGGCGTAGGCGCAGGGTCGGGGAAAGGGGCGTGGCCAGTGCCGAGGGGCGGGCCCAGAGAGACAGGACGGTTCGGGGGTGCCCCTCTGGGTGAGAGTGGGACGGAGCCGGACGTGACAGAGGCGGTGCCACCGCGCGGGACTTGGGGTCGGTGGCGCTCGGCACAGGGGGCGGGATCCGGGCGCGGCGACCCTCACGCCGCGCGGTTCCTCCTTCCCGGCCCCTCCGCAGCTTCGTGGTGGGCTCCGACGGCTACGTGTACGAGGGCCGCGGCTGGCACTGGGTGGGCGCGCACACGCTCGGCCACAACCAGCTCGGCTTCGGCGTGGCCTTCGTGGGCAACTACACGGCGGCGCTGCCCTCCGAGGCCGCGCTGCGCACGGTGCGCGACGAGCTCCCGAGCTGCGCGGTGCGCGCCGGGCTCCTGCGGCCCCACTACGCCGCGCTGGGCCACCGCCAGCTGGTGCGCACCCACTGCCCCGGCGACGCGCTCTTCCGCCGCTTGAGCACCTGGCCGCACTTCCGAGCGGTGAGTCCGCCCTGCGCGCGCGCCACCTCGGCCACCCGCCCGACCCTGGCGTCCCCCCTGCCCCCTGCCCAAGGGCCCTCTGTCCATACAGCGCTAGCCTGCCCTGTGACCCTTTGCCCGCACAACCTCTGTCCAGCCCCTGGCCCCGTGTCGCAACCCTCCGCCCGGACAGTCTCAGCCCTGAGGACGCTTGTTCCGCTGGAGCTGCCTCGGTCCCCCCGCCAGCACGACCTTGGCCCGATGACGTCATCCAAGCCCCTGACCCTCATCCCTAAAACGCCTCTCTGATCACACCTGGATAACCTCACGCCACCTGCCCGCCGCTGCTCCGTTTCGTTAGGCTATTATTGCTCTGCCCGTCCTGGCCCTCTTGCAGGTGGCTTTGTCACCACTCCTACCCTTTGGGTCCCTGTCCCCTCCCCCACCAGGGTTCCACAAGCGAGGAGGGCAGACCTAGCCACCTCCCCCTCCCCCAAGCCTCACACTGTCTCGTCTTTTCTAGATTGTGAAGCCAAGAACTGCCAGGAGGACCTCTGAGAGATCCAGGAGGGAGCCGCCCGCCCTGGCCCCGGCGGCCACAGAGCCCCAGTAAAGAGGCCATGCGGGCCGGGCGCGGTGGCTCACGCCTGTCACCCCAGCACTCTGGGAGGCCCAGGCGGGAGGATCGCTCAAGGTCAGGAGTCTGAGACCAGCCTGAGCAAGATCAAGACTCCATCTCTACTAAAAAAATCTAAAGAAGTTAATTGGACAACTAAAAATATATAGAAAAAAATGAGCCGGGCATGGTGGCGCATGCCTGTAGTCCCAGCTACTCGGGAGGCTGAGGCAGGAGGATCGCTTGAGCCCAGGAGTTGGAGGTTGCTGTGAGCGAGGCTGACGCCACGGCACTCTAGCCCAGGCGACAGAGTGAGACTCTGTCTCAAATAAATAAATAAAGAGGCCATGGAAAAGACAGTCTCTCTGAGTGTTCAATCACGGTGTCTTAGTTGGGGTTTGCCCAGAAGCAGAGCCTGAGGCGAGGATTCCGGCACATGTAGTTTAGCTAGAGGTGGTCTCAGGACTTAGCAGCTTGGGAACAAGGTGCTGGGGATGGGAGGGGAGGGAAGGCAGCCAGGAAAGGAGGAGTTATCAAGTGAGTTTCCACTGTGGGCAACCACTCAAGGGGTGAGAGAGCTGGGGTGTTTACACACTGATTCCCATCGGCGATTAGTTGAGGGCTGCCCTCGGGGGACATGTTCATTCATCGGCACGCTGGGGCTGCTTGTTACATGGGCAGAATGGCTCCATCTGCCAGATGCAAATGGTCGCAAATTGTCACCTCCTCCGGGAAGCCCTCCCTGATTTTTCCCCCCGGGCTCAAAGAGAAGCACTTCTGCTCAGCCTCTACTCCAATCTGCCTATTTCCTTCCAAATCCTCTTCACCAGCTAGAAATGTCCCGTGCTTGAGTTGGGGATCTCCCTCCTTCGCTGGTGTGTATGTGAGCTCTAGGAGGGGCGGGAACCAAGTTTATTCAGTCCCCCACCCCATGGCTTCTCCAGCCCCTGGCACACAGTAGGCACTCAGGAAATACCTGTTTAACTGGACAAAGGCTCACATGGCGCACTTTTTGAAATCTATGGTATCATCTTGTACAAACAAGCAAACCAAGGCTCAGAGAAAGGAAGTGACTTGCCTGAGGTTGCACTGAGAGGGGCCAACTGTCACTCAAACCCACTCTGTCTTTTTCTAGTTCCTGGGACAGCATTGGGCTGACTCATCTATTCCTCAGAACAGCATTTACGCACCTCTCTCTCTCCTTTTTTTTATTTTTTTTTTTGGAGGGGTTGGGGAGACAGGGTCTCGCTCTGTTGCCCGGGCTGGAGTGGCGTCATCATAGCTCACTGCAGCCTTAAACTCCTGGTCTTAAGCCATCCTCCCGCCTGAGCCTCCCAAGTAGCTGGGACTACAGGCTCAAACTACCGTGCCCGGGCTACCCACCTCCCTTTTCAAGTGAAGATTTATTGAGGCATAACAGAGACACAGGAAAATGCACCAAAATGTACAGCATGATAAATTTTCACAACGGGACACACCCATGAAACCAGCACCCAGACCAAGAAACAGGACACATTCAACTTATGTACATTTCACTTCCATAAATAAAAATAATAATAATAAACACGGCCAGCTCCCAGAAGCCCCCGCCCCAGTAACTAGCACCTTCCAAAGGAAGCCAATATCCCGGCGTGTAAAAAATAGGTTCACCTGCTCTGGAACTTTCTATGAATGCAATCGGACAGCGCGTACCCTTCACTGGTTTTTGGTTTCTGGTTTTGCTCAGCCTTTGTTGTGATTCATCGCAGTTCAGTGTATGCAGTGGTCTGTGCGTTCTCGTCGCTGCATGGAATCCTGCTGCGAGAAGCAACCACGGTTTATTCGTCCTGCCATCCACGGACACATGGCTCGTTTCCAGTCTGGGACAGTCGCGAAGAGCGCTGGCCGGCATGTCTGTCGGGCACCTGTCTAGCAGCGGACGGGCTGGGTCAGAGGACACCCGGCTAGCAGCGCTAGCGGGTCACAGGCGACTCGGCCCACACTCTGGCCAGCAGAGCGTGCGAGTTCCAGGTGCTCGGTATTCTCGCCAGCGTGTGTTCAGCAATGTGCCCATTTTGCAGAGAAGGCAACTGAGGCTCCGAGCGAGGGGCGTTTGCTGCCTCCCGGTCAGTGAGGGGTTCTGGGTGCTTCTTGCCAGAAGCCTGTTCTGCCACCACCACCTGCTCGCCCTCCCCCGCCTACTCTGCCCCCAGCATCCTGCCCTGACTACCCTCCCAGCCTGGCTGCGGGGCGGCGGGCGGGGTGGGCCAGACCGGGTCACGTGGAGCTGGCTTCGGCGGGAGGAAGCCAGGCAGGGTGCAGACGGCTGCTGATTCTGGGGCCGGTCAGGAAATCAAGGTGAGCGAGGGCGTGCGCGTGGGCCCCAAGGTGGGGTTCCCTGGGGGCAGAGCTGAGAACGGAGAGGGGGCCGAGGCGAGGGCGGTGGGTGGGCAGACACTGGGCGGGACTGTCACCTGCTCGTCCCCCAGGAGGAACCCCCGCCATGGACCCGCCGTCGCCAAGCCAGGCCTCCCAGCCCCAGCCCGCGGCCCCCTGCCCGCTGACTTCCTACCGCTGGCACACGGGGGGCGGCGCGGAGAAGGGGGCGGCCGCGGGGTCCCGCTGGGGCCGCCTCGTGGGCTGGGGCCGAGCACTGAGCCACCAGGAGCCCGCCGTCAGCAGCCAGCCGGCCGCGCGCTCGCTGTTCCGCCGGGTGCTCTCCGCGCCCCCGAAGGAGTCGCGCTCCAGTCGCCTCCGGCTGTCCAAGACCCTCTGGGGGGGGCACAGGCACGCCCCGCCCGAGCCGCAGCCGGAGCCCGAGGCCCCAGGTACGTGACGCCGCCGCTCGGAGCCCAGGGCCGCGCCGGAGGCCGGATGCCCGGGTTCCGTCTGCCTCGAGCCCTGCAGACACAGGAAGTTGTGGGGAGCGCAAAAGCCCAGCAGGAAGTGGCTGGGGGCCCCCGCTGCCCTCTTCCCCCTTTCTCCCTAAAGAGGGCTGGGAGGGGTCGCCAGGGACCTGTGGGCAGGGGGCCCTGACTGAGGAAGGGACAGGGAAGAGGCCCACCATGGCGCCGTCCAGATGCCAAATGGCTCTTGGCCCCAGTGGGTCTCTCCTCCAAGCCACCTCGGCTCCCTCCTCCTCTCCTGCCTTCTGGCCTCCCTGTCTCGGTTCCTACGCCTCCCCAGCCTCAGCATTCCCACCAGTTAAATGGGAATAAAGACCCCTACCTTGAAGGGCGTATCGTTCCATTTGCTCGCATTCCTCCATCCATTCAAGCAGAGGTTTACTGAGCACAGATCGTGCGCTGGGCCCTGATTCAGGCTCCGAGGACACAGGGGTGAGCAAGACAGGTGGCGCGCCCTGCCCGGTGGAGCTCGGAGTATACTGGTGGTGACGGACAGAGAATTAGTCAAGAAGAAAGTGACAGCTGGTGCTCAGTGTCACCAGAGGGATCTAGAAGGGTGGTGAATGTCCAGGATTAGCGCTCAGGACCGTGGCGCTCGGCCAGGGCCGAGCGTATTCTAAGCGATCCATCCACAAGTGGGTGCCACTATTGCACCTGGCGGCAAAACAAGGAAGCAGGTAATCTGCGAGGGTCGGTGCAGCCCCTCCCATTTCCTGGAAACCCGTTTAATTCTAACCACCCACACGCCCAGTTTGCAAAGGCATCTCTGCAACCCCCTCCGGGCTGTCAGGTCTCACCCACTCCGCAGGGTCCAGAGGGAGACCTCTAACAAGCAGACCTGCTCCTCACCGGCTCAAATACCTCCCGTGGCTCCCCACTGCCCCCAGGATAAAAGCCCAGCTCCTCCCACTGGCACCCAAGACCCTGCACCAATCTCTTCCCCAAACCTTCCGGCTTCCGAGCCCTCGAGCGAGCCTCTTTCTGACTTTTCATTTCCCTGGGCCTTGTTCTGTCCCAGTCTTTGCTCAAGCTATTCCTGCCAGCTTCCCCTCCATCCCCGATCGTCACGGCCCCACCTGCTGTTCCAGCCCAGCGCAGACCAGACGCACTCTCTCTGCGAGGCCTTCCCTGACCGCCCAGCAACCTCCCCCCCTTCCCCAAGAAAGAGGCCTCTCCCTACCCTGACCTTTTGCTGTTCTCTTCTTAAACTTCGAATACTTTCCACCTTAGGTCAGTTATGTATGTAAAGAACCAAGGCTCCTGTCCTTTTATTCAAACTCTTGGACCTACCTACTGTCTTTTTCTTTTGTGAGACAAGTCTCACTCTGTTGCCCCGGCTACAGCGCCGTGGCGTCAGCCTAGCTCACAGCAACCTCCAACTCCTGGGCTCAAGCGATCCTCCTGCCTCAACCTCCCCAGTAGCTGGGACTACAGGCACATGCCACCATGCCCGGCTAATATTTTCTATATATTTTTAGTTGGCCAATTAATTTCTTTCTATTTTTTAGTAGAGACGGGGTCTCGCTCTTGCTCAGGCTGGTTTCAAACTCCTGACCTTGAGCGATCCGCCCGCCTCGGCCTCCCAGGGTGCTGGGATGACAGGCGTGAGCCACCGCGCCCGGCCCCTACTGTCTTGATTAAGAGAAGAATACCTGTCTAACGCCCATCTCAGCCACTCACAAACTGTGTGACCCTGGGCGAGTCACTTGACCTCTCTGGGCCTCGGTGATGAAAGCCCTTGGAATGGCTTTTCGGAGGGTCAGATGAGAGCAGGCGTGTGGAGTGGCAAACACAGTCCTGGGCACATAGTAGGTGGTCCTGTGTCCACTGCTCGTGGTGGTCGCTGGGGACAAGGCCCAGAGAGAGGTGGGGAGACCTGCCTGAGGTCGCGCAGCGTGACGTGGCTGCTGGGCTTGGGGCAGGCACCCGGGAGGGAGCCCCTGGTGAGCTTCAGTAAAGGGACGAGGTGTCCTGCAGGACGAGGAAAGGACTCTCGGGCCCCCCAGCACCTCCCCCTCTTCCCAGGGCCGGCGCCGGCGCCGGAGCCCCCTGCCCAGCACATCCCGGAGGCCCCCACGCCCGACGTGCCCGTGTGGGACATCGGGGGCTTCTCCCTGCTGGATGGGAAGCTCCCGTGCGAGCTTGGGGGAGAGGGAGGAGGAAGGGGCAAGGTGGGCAAGGGACGAGGCGGAGGACAAGGGGGGCACGGAGCAGAGGCGGGGGAGGGAGCAAGGAAAATGGGGGCGGGGGTCTGCCTCCCCTTCCTGACCGCCCACTTCTTTGGGGAGCAGGGTCCTCGGAGGGCCCGGATGGGAAGCGCTGGCTCGGAGGGCAGCATCCACGCGGCCCTGGGGACCCCCAGAGACCCAGGTAGGCCTGGAGGGTGTGAGGCGCTGGGGCCCCGGGGCCGAAGGTGAGACGATGCCAACCCCTCACCTCCCACCTCTGACGGCCCTCAGATCGGATCCCCGGGAAGACGGAGCCGGAGCTGCTGCTGGCCCCAACCAGGTCCACAACGTTCGGGTGAGGCGGCCCGTGGGGGCTAGGGAAAGCAAAGACCCCCAGACGCTCAGAGCTGGGTGACCTGGGCAGGTCACTCACCCTGTCTGGGCCTCAGAGTGCTTATCTGTCACATATCTGGCAATTAAAGGCCGGGCGTGGTGGCTCACGCCTGTCATCCCAGCACTCTGGGAGGGCTAGGCGGGCAGATCGCTCAAGGTCAGGAGTTCAAGACCAGCCTGAGCAAGAGCAAGACCCCATCTCTACTAAAAAAAAAAAAAAAAAAAAAAAAAAAATCAAGAAATTAATTGGCCAACTAAAACACACACACACATATATATATATATGTGTGTGTGTGTGTGTGTGTGGTGTGTGTGTGTATTAGCCGGGCATGGTGGCGCACACCTGTAGTCCCAGCTACTGGGTAGACTCAGGCAGGAGGATCGCTTGAGCCCGGAGATTGAGGTTGCTGTGAGCGAGGCTGACGCCACAGCACTCACTCTAGCCTGGGCAACAGAGTGAGACTCTGTCTCAAAAAAAAAAAAAAAATAAAACAAAAGAAACAAAAAAAAAAACAAACATGGCAATTAAAGGACAGCCTTCCTCTTAGGCTGCTCCGGAGTGGTCAGTAGAGAATGCAGGAAAGCACAGTGTCTGACTTTAGTCCCCCGAGACCAGCAGATCCTCTGGGACACCCCGGGAGGGCGGGATCTGAGGAAGGACCAAGGACCGCAGGGCTCTGCCCAGCTGACATCCCCTCCCCCACAGGGGTTGCTCAAGAGGCTGAAAGAGAAGAAAAAGTCCAGGTCGGAGCTGGGGGCCAATGTCTCCCGGGATGGGTAAGGGTCTCCAAGGGGCTGAAGGGGCTGGGGGGGGGGCGGTCAACCGTGTGCTCTCCTCCCTCCCCCCGCCCCCGGCCTGTCATTCTGAGCTTCACCAAACATCCCCTGTGGCCACCTCTGTGTTCTGCCCCATGTCAGGTGATGCTAGGGCCACCGAAAGGCCCTGGCGTGGAGCCAGCCGTTGGTGGAGGGGCGGGGACAGAGCCTGACCCAATATCTCTAAAATGGGGTGGAAACTGAGTCAACACCCTGGTCTGGGGGGGACAGGATCCAATTTATGCTCCAGTCCGCCTCGGGCTTCCTCCACCCTCCCTTCAGGCCGCGGGGGTGGGAGGAAGAGGGAGGAATGACCGCTTGGGCACCTGTCCCCTGCCCAGACCCCCCAGTGCCCTGGGCTCTAGGGAATCGCTGGCCACTCTCTCCGAGCTAGACCTGGGTGCCCAGCGGGACGTGCAGGTCTGGCCAGTGCACCCCAGCCTCCTCGGGGAGCCCCACTGCTTCCAGGTAAGTGCAGGCCGCCCTCCACCTCGGTGTCACCTCTGACCCTTCCTCTCCGCTCTCGGACTCAACCACACCCTCGGATTCTCCGCCCCAACAGGTAACCTGGGCGGGCGGAAGCCGCTGCTTCTCTTGTCGCTCTGCCGCTGAGAGAGACCGCTGGATCGAGGACCTTCGTCGCCACTTCCAGCCCACCCAGGTCATTGCCCCAAAAAAGAGGGACACGGAGACCCAGCCCCCAGGACTGGCCCGCCCTCTCCGTCCTACCCAAGCCCGGCTGGCTCCCTAACCCCCACCCACACACCTGCCCGCCCACACCTTCGCAGCGGCTCCAGGACGCCCGGTCCACCGACCGGCGCGCCCCTTCTGTTCAGTCCCGGCCGTGCTCTTGTCCAAAGCCCTGGCTGCCCGGTAGTCGCGCAGTCCTCACTCCGCGACCACCCTTGCATACCCTGGAGCCCCGATCTAAGGCTTCCGCTCGGCCGCCTCGGGACTCCCGTGGGCCCATCCTTTTCCCCAAGGGCCCAGCGGGCTCCCCGGGGACCTGGCGCACCGGGTTCGGCGCCCCGCGCTTCACCTGCGGTGCCCTCCTCGGAGCGCCAGCGTCTCCGAAACGCTTCTCCCGCCCCCTCCCATGCGCAGGACAACGTGGAGCGGGAAGAGACGTGGCTGAGCGTGTGGGTGCATGAGGCGAAAGGGCTGCCCCGGGCGGCGGCGGGGACACCCGGCGTGCGCGCCGAGCTGTGGCTGGACGGCGCGCTGCTGGCGCGCACTGCACCGCGGGCCGGCCCGGGCCAGCTCTTCTGGGCCGAGCGCTTCCACTTCGAGGCGCTGCCGCCCGCGCGTCGCCTGTCGCTGCGGCTGCGCGGCGCGGGCCCGGGGGCCGCGGTGCTTGGCCGCGTGGCGCTGCCGCTGGAGGAGCTGGAGGTCCCGCGCGCGCCGGCCGCCGGCCGGGAGCGCTGGTTCCCGCTGCTCGGGGCGCCGGCGGGAGCGGCGCTGCGGGCGCGGATCCGGGCGCGACGCCTGCGCGTGCTGCCGTCCGAGCGCTACAAGGAGCTGGCGGAATTCCTCACCTTCCACTACGAGCGCCTCTGCGGGGCCCTCGAGCCCGCGCTGCCTGCGCAGGCCAAGGAGGAGCTGGCGGCCGCCTTGGTGCGCGTGCTGCGGGCCACCGGCCGGGCACAGGTGCGTCGCCGCGACGGAGCGGACCGGGGTGACCAGGGGTGGACGGACAGCGGGCTCCGGGGTACAGGGCCTGAGTTGCACCTGGGAGGGGCGGGGCACCTTGAAGGGCAGGGGCTGTGTTCCACCTGTAAGGGGCGGGGCACCTCGAGGGGCGGGGCCTGAGTTGCACCTGTAAGGGGCGGGGCACCTTGAAGGGCGGGGCCTGGGTTGCACCTGTAAGGGGCGGGGCAGCTTTAAGGGCGGGGCCTGGGTTGCACCTGTAAGGGGCGGGGCAGCTTTAAGGGCGGGGCCTCGGTTGCATCTGTAGGGGCGGGGCACCTTGAAGGGCGGGACCTGGGTTGCACCTGTAAGGGGCGGGGCCTCAACTCAGCCTCGTCGCTGAAAGTTTCTGTTGTGAGGGAGGGGTGGAGAGTTCCAGCCTGGGTCATGAGCCCCCGGACTGAGGGGAACAGCTACAAAGGGTGAGACCTGTGCCCCAGGTTTGAGGGACAGGCCGAGGATCAGTGTGCACTCGGCACAACGTGACGCCTGCCTTGCCCAGGTACTGGTGACAGACCTGGGCACCGCTGAGCTGGCGCGCTGTGGGGGCCGTGAGGCGCTGCTGTTCCGGGAAAACACATTGGCCACCAAGGCCATCGACGAGTACATGAAGCTGGTGGCCCAGGATTACCTCCAAAAGACCCTGGGTGAGCTGGAAGGGGGAGAGTCCCAGTGTCCACTGGGGTTGGGGGGGAGTGCTGGGGGACCTGGGAGGAGTTCTAGGAGTCCTTGGGTAGCCTGGATTTTGGTAGTGGGTGGTGATTTGGGGGTGCTAGGATCCTAGGGGGAACTGGGAGCTCCCTCAGATGTTAGATGCCTCCAGAACAAGTTGCAGATAGGCTTAGAGGCTGGGTGTGGAGGGGGTTGGTGGTCACGGCCCCCACTCCTACCTGGCTGTGCTGTGCTGCAGGGCAGGTTGTGGGGCGTCTCTGTGCCTCCACTGAGGACTGCGAGGTGGATCCCAGCAAGTGCCCAGCCTCAGAGCTGCCTGAGCACCAGGCCCGACTTCGAAGCAGCTGTGAGCAGGTCTTGGAAACCATCGTCCACTCCTATGAGTAAGGATCGGGGGCACAGCACCCGAACCCACCCCTGCCCGTCATGCCAACCGGGACTCCCCCATTAGCGCTGCCAGATAAGATGTAGGATGGTCACTTAAATTCGACGCAATATTTGGGACATACCAAATAAATAAAGTTTATGTATTGGGCATGTTCCAAATGTAGATAAAAATTATAATAAGTAAAATTATAAAGATAAAATATATATATATAATATCAATAATAATTACTCATTTATCTGAAAGTCAGATTTAGTGGGGTGCCCTGCAGTTTTATTTGCTACATCTGGCAGCCCTACCCCCCAATGCTATGCCACTGGCCTGAGTTAATGACCTCAGATTCCAGATGATGCCATACCCCTAATACCGTGACCCCTGACCTTAAGTGATCCCATACCTCAAATCCCATGCAACTGATCACAGGAAACCTGGGATTCCAATCCCTTGACCTCTGACCCTAGCTTAACCTGCATGACTAATCCCTGACTTCCATCCAGAGACTTCTCACCCTAGGTGACCCTGGAACCCCCATCCTACTTCTTACTGTGCACCCTGGCACCTCAAGCTCATGTCCAATAATAACTGCGTCCCAAGCTCATGACCTCTGTTTTCATGTGTCCCAGTACCCCCAACTCTAAGAATATTGTCTCCAGAGAGCACCATAAGTACACCATAAGCCATGCCCCCCAAGTGGACCCACAACCCCAAGCATCATTGTCTCGGATGCTCCCAATCCTGGGACCCAGATCCCACGTTCCTTGAGAAGGAGGCCAGATGGGCTTCAGAAATAGACTCCTGGAGGACCGTGGACCAGTAATGCATTGGTTTCTGGCCCCCTGACCCCTGACCCTACGACCTTGACCTTTATGCCCATGCCCTCCCCTCTGACCGTTGCCTCTTCCGCCCCAGCTGGTTCCCTGCAGAGCTGGGCATGGTGTTCTCAGGCTGGAGAGAAGCCTGCAAAGCGCGTGGCTCCGAGGCGCTGGGCCCCCGGCTAGTGTGTGCATCCCTCTTCTTGCGGCTCCTCTGCCCCGCCATCCTGTCGCCCAGCCTCTTTGACCTGGCACCGGAACACCCGGCACCCAGCCCCGCCCGCACCCTCACGCTGATTGCCAAGGTCATCCAGAACCTTGCCAACCGTGCCCCGTAGGTCCTGGGAGGCTGGGGAGCCACGCTGGGGGTGTGGGGGTGGCAGGTGCCTGACCTGACCCACCCGGCCTGGTCCCAACTCAGGTTCGGCGAGAAGGAGGCCTACATGGGCTTCATGAACAGCTTCCTGGAGGAACATGGGCCAGCCATGCAACACTTCCTGGACCAGGTGGCCATGGTGGATGTGGATGCTGCCCCCAGTGGTTACCAGGGCAGCGGTGACCTGGCCCTCCAGCTGGCAGTCCTGCATGCCCAGCTCTGTACGATCTTTGCTGAACTCGACCAGGTGGGGCTTGAACCCAGAGCCCAAGAAACAGGGTAGGGAGGCAAGAAGACTGGGAGGCCTTGGCCCAGGAGACCTTTTCAGCCTCCTTCCTCCATGCCTCACCAGACCACCCGTGACAGCCTGGAACCGCTGCCCACCATCCTGCGAGCCATCGAGGAGCGCCGGCCCGTACCTGTGTCAGTGCCAATGTGTCTCCCCCTGCCGCCAGCCCAGGTCCATGCCAGGTAACCTCAAATCTGGTCCAGGTTCTGAAGGGTGGGAGCAGGAGTAGGGGTCACAGGTGAATGAAGATGGATCATGTGAGCAGAGCTCGAGGCCAGGGTCCCACTGAAATTGGAGGTTGCAGAAAGGGTCAGGTCAAAGGCCACATTGTGCTAGAGGGCAGGGATGAGACTAGAGGTTAGACTGGAGTCAAGTCCAGGGTCATAGAGAGGACAGCGTATTTTGTCAGAGGTCAAAATATGATCCCATCAAGAACAGGATCCAGGCCGGGCGGGGGGTGGCTCACGCCTGTAATCCCAGCACTCTGGAAGGCCGAGGCAGGAGGATCGCTCAAGGTCAGGAGTTTGAAACCAGCCTGAGCAAGAGCGAGACCCCGTCTCTACTATAAATAGAAAGAAAATTAATTGGCCAACTAATATATATAGAAGAAATGAGCCGGGCACGGTGGCGCATGCCTGTAGTCCCAGCTACTCGGGAGGCTGAGGCAGGAGGATCGCCTGAGCCCAGGAGTCTGAGGTTGCTGTGAGCAAGGCTAACTCTAGCCTGGGCGACAAAGCGATACTCTGTCTCAAAAAAGGAAAAAAAAAAAAAAAAACAGGATCCCATAGAAGGAAATCAGTAGGGGCAAGATCACTTCTGGTCAGAGTGCAGGATGGGTCATCTCAGGGGCAAGTCTGAGTTCCCCCATCCCACCCCCAGCTTCTCCGAAAGGGAAAAGCCCGGCTTCCTGGCGCCCCGGGACCTCCCCAAGCACACCCCTCTCATCTCCAAGAGCCAGTCCCTGCGCAGCGTCCACCGCTCGCCCAGTTGGGCCCGGCCGCGGCCGGACGAGGAGCGGCCACCGCGGAGGCCCCGGCCAGTGCAGCGCACGCAGAGCGTCCCCGCCCGGCGCCCTGCCCGCCGCCGCCCGTCCGCGGGGCCCCGGCCGCCACCCCAAGGCTCCGTGCGCACTAGCGCCGCGCCGCGCGGCCGGCCCTGGACCGGGGCCTCCGCCTCGCTGCCTCGGAAGCCATCGGTGCCCTGGCAGCGCCACCTGGATCAGCCGCGGGACCGAGACCCAGCGGTGGGCACCCACCGCCCTGTCGGCAAGGTGAGGCCGAGCCCAAGCCCGCGCGCAGGGAGGGGAGGAGGGGCGGGGCCGGACTGGGGAAAACACTGGGCTGGGCCAGGCAAGTCCGGGGTCAAGTCCTGAGCCCGCTGCGCTCCGTGACCCCAGGCCTAGCCCGGCCCCCTCTCTGAACTTCGGCTCCTGCCTCCGTACCAACTGCAGCGAGGTTGCCCCACGGGGAAGGGCAGTGAGGAGGCTGAGCCCTCGGGCCCGGGAGGTCGGGGTCTCCGGGGAGGCGAAGGGGCAGGACCTGCGGATCAGGTTGACAGCCGCCCTCCCTCCCTCCGCAGCTGGCAGAGCTGCAGCGCGAGGTGGCCGCGCTGCGCGAGGAGCAGAAAGTGCTGTCCCGCCTCGTGGAGTCGCTGAGCACCCACATCCAGGCCCTGACGGAGCAGCAGGAGCAGCTGCGGGGCCAGCTGCAGGACCTGGACCGCAGGCTGCGCGCCAGGTGAGCCCCGCCCCGTCCGCCCGCTGCGCCCGCAGGTGGGCCCGCTCGGGTGCAGGTCCCCGGGCTCTGCGCCTGGCCCCGCCTCCTACTCAGCCCCGCCCACATCACGCCCGGCACGCCCACGCCGGCGTTAGCCACGCCTCCACATGCCTTCCAGGCCCCGCCTCTTACTACGCCCCGCCCCCAGATGGGCCCACCTGCGCAGGCTTTCTCGAGACCCTGGCAGGTCCTCTCCTCCGGGCCCCGCCCCTCCTTCGGCCCCTCTCACCCTGTCTGGGAGGACACGGAGAAGTCCGGGTCTGGATGCTCCTTCACCTAGTCACGACTCTACCCAGGACTGGCCCCGCCCCGCCCCCAAGGGATTCATTGATTGGTCCTTTCGTCCCAATCATTCCAGGCTCTGATCCCACCCTGCTTGAGGCGTATTCAGGCCACGCCCCCCCAGCCGGAACAAACCCCGCCTCCGCTCCAAGCTCCGCCCCCTGAGTCCCTGGCTGTGCGTCCAACCCAGAGCTGGGACTTCCCCAGCCTCTGACCTCCTCCCCCCCCAACCCCCTCCAGGACCTCGGAGTTGGATCCAGAGCATGGCCTTGCAAGAAGCGAAGGGCACGGTCTAGAAAGTCTGGTGAGACTGCCGTCCGAGCCCTGGGGCAGGTCTGGGCGGTGGCAGAGCGAGGGCTGGGGCGCAGCCCTCCCCTGGCCCCGCGCCCACGGCCACTGCCTCCCCCAGGAGCGCCGCCTGGCTGACATGGAGAAATCTCAGGCCCAGCTGAAGGATGCAGTCCGGGGCCTGCAGCTGTCGCCCAGGACGCCCGGGCGCCCGAGCCAGCCTCTGCCCCTCGAAACGCCCTGCGTCAATGGAGACAACACCACCTGAGCTGCCCAGCCCCAGCGCCACGCGTGGCCTGCGAGCGTAGCCGTCTTAGGGGGGTGTCCCACCTTGCCTTGGCCCTACGTGGCCTCCAGCGGGGACTGGTGCTGTAGGCGCCTACCACCCCGGCACTTCGAGGCTGCCCAGTAAAGTCTTGATTTCAGTAAAATCGGTGGTTTCTTTGCCCACCCCCAAGAATGGCCAATTCTTAGGGCTTTGTCTCCTCCACTCCCCCCCCCATCCAGCTCTCCTAAATTCTCCCCTGATTGGAAGTCTCATGGAGGGGGAGCGGTGAGCAGAATCTCACCAGCTATGTGACCTTAGGCTTTCCCGCTCTGAAGAGCCTCCGTTTTCTCATCTGTAAAAGGGGTCTACAGTTCCCCGCACAGTGGAAGGCCCCTAGTTAAAGGCGTTCAATAAAAGGTATTCATCGCTGTTTATGGGCAGCACCTGCTTCTCGATGAAGCACAGATTCTCTTCCCACCTCCACCACGCCCCCCCTACACCCTGCCAACCCCCAGGCCCCAGATGAGAGAATCTTCCTAACCACCCTCCCACCCCCAAATCCCAACCAGATTCCCCACTGCACGGAGGGGATGAGGCCGGGAGGAAACAGAAGGGTGGGCAGATGTGGAGAGGGTCGAACTCTGTGGGCAAATGGCTGGGCAAATGAGTCCTTTGAGTCACGGGTGAGGGGGTAGGCTGAATGGGAGCAAGAGGCAGATGGACAGGTTAGCCTTTGATAGAGGCTTGGCCCGGTAGGTAAGTAACTGGGTAGGTGGCTAACCAGGGTGGACAGGTCTCCCTGGAAAAGGCCTGGCTCATATAGGAAATAAATATTTGAATTGAGTGCGTGATCTTATCTGTGGCCCGTGCACATCTGTTGAGCTCTCCTGAGACTCTTGAGTGGGGCGGCAGGAAAACAGTGATGGACTGGACAGACAGGACCCCTGTCCTCTTGGGGCTTATACTCTAGCGGAGAGAGCAAACGGACGACCGTGCAGTTGCCGGACGGACGCTTGGGTGTCCGGGTGGAAGGCCGCGTTTATGGGGTGGGTGTGTGGACATATGGGCATTCGCTTGGGTGAATGGGCAGGGAGATGGGAGCGGACCGGTGGGTCGAGTGGGTGTTTGGATGGACGAACAGGTGGCTAGAGGGGCGGGTGGACAGGGGGTGGGTGGACTGCCCGGGCAGGTGAGCACAGGAGTGGATGGGCGGGTGGATGTGCCACGTGGGGTGGCCAGGAGAAGACAGCAGGCTCGTGCATGGGATGGGGTGATCCTGGGGTCTGGGTGGAGGAGCGGGGCTCAGCATTGAGGACCTAGGGTAGCTCTAGGCGCATGGAGGTGCTCGAGTCCAGCGTGGATGATGGGGAAGGAAGGAGTGAGCTCGTGGTTGGGAGGAAGCTGATTGGGGGCCGGGACTGGAAGCCACAGAGTGCCTGGGTGGAGGCCCCAATGGCCTGCCAACGACCCACTGGGGAACTTCTTGGCCCCCCTCCCCACTCTTCCAGCACTTTTAGCGAGCCCAGCGTTGGAAGAACCAGTGGGTGGATGAGGAGCCATTGGGGGCGGAAGGACAGGGGTGTCGTCATGGTAACAGAGCTTCTCCCTGGACTCTGGGGCCGCGCGGGCCCTTTAAGGGTGACCTGCCTGGCCACTCCCAACATGGCGGCGCGCCCGCTGGCCGACCCCCCCGGGGCGTCGCGGGGGGGCGCCCCGGACCTCCCCATCATGGCGGCGCGGCGGGGCTGTCGCGCTGAGGTCACGGCGGCGCGCCGGGGGGGCGGGGCGGCGGGGGGAGCGATTTAAAGGGACAATGTCCCCCGAGCGGTGGAGGCGGCGGCGGCTGCGGAGGCCGCGGCACCGGCACCGGGAGCGGCGGCAGCGGTAGCGGCAGCGACGGCCGCACCGAGGAGGGGAGCTCTGAGCCCCGGCACCTGGCCGGGGGCGCCGCCTCCCCGGTGAGGCCCGGCCTGGCCTGGGGAGCCCGCGGGCGGGGCGGAGCCGGAGCGGGGAGGGGGAGGCCCGGGCCGGGCCGGGCCAGGCGGGACCCCCTGGGGCGGGGGGCGGGGCGGGGCCTTTAGGGGCGGGGCCTGGCCGGGGGCGGGGCCGCGCAGGTGGGGGGAGGGGAGGGGGTCTTGGGGCAGGTGTCCCCCCTACCTCGGAGCGTCCCGCGGGGTCTCCCGCCCCGAGGTGCACGGGCGGAGGGCGCATCCCCCAGAACCTGGCCCCTGGAGGGGTGCGCCGGCGCGGCGCTGCCCCCACCTCTGCGACCCCTGGGGGGCGTCCGGGCGGGAGCCCCCTCCCCACGCTGCCAAAGTGCTCCGAAGTTGCGGTCTCGCCGGTTCCCCGCGGGCAGTGCCCACCCGGTGGGCAACCGCAGGTGCCTCCTTCGGGCCTGGGCAGGGACCCCCGCCAAGACTGCCAGCCCGCGGACGAGCCCCCTGGGAGCCCCCGGGCCCCCGAGGGCAGCGCCTGCAACCAGGCCTGGAGCCCCGGCCCCGCCCCGGTTGCCTGGGCCCGGCCTCCCCACCGTCTCCCTGGGGAGGGAGCCTCATTCCTGCCCTTCACTTTCCGCCGTTACCTTGAAGGTATTTATAGGTGGAGAGGACAGCCCCCCCTCCCTGGGGTCCTCATTTCTGGACCAGGAGCCCCGTCAGTCCCTTTGCCCCGCGGACTGGAGCAATCTTGGCTGGAGGGTGGGGGGGTGGGAATGGAGGAGCCCGGGCTGAGTGTGCATGGGGGGGTCACGTTGGGGAGGAGCGAAGTAGGTTAATGCTGGGGTCACTTGAGGCTGTGTGTGGGGGTGAAGGGGTTAACGCTGGGGAACCCTGAGGTCGGCGGGGGGCAGGGTTGGAGTGTGGGAAAAGTGCAGGGTAATTGGTCTGGGCACCCAGAGGGAGGGAAGTGAAGGAAGGGGCGAGGAGGGTGGGACTCCAGGCTGTGCAGGATCAGAGTGCACAAGTGTCTGGGCTCCGTGCGAGGAAACTGAGGCATGTGCATGGAAGGGAGGGCACACACTGGGGACGGACAGTGCAGCTGTGTGGGGACCTAGAAAGGCACCTGGAAGAAGCAGTAGGATGAATGGTGGAAGAAAACACGCTTGGCTGAGTGTGCATGTGTAAAAAGGGGGCAAACTGAGGCAGTGGAGGATCTGTGTAAAGAGAGGAGTTATTGATGGGGAGACTGAGGCATGCGGAGGGTAGGGACCACTGGGATATAACGTGCATAGGCAGGGCCTCCGCGCCATTTACTTAGCTCCCCTGGGCTGGGAGGTAAACTGAGGCAGTGAAGTGCGAGGGTGAGGACTGGGGTTTTGAGGGAGGGGAAACTGAGGCGGAGTCCCTTTCCTATGTCCCCTAAGCACTATGTCCCTCTCTCTGCCCGCCCCACCCCCAGACCCACAATGCCCCGCTGAGCCAGCCTGGCAGCAGAGTGGAGCCCGGCGGAGAGCACCCATGGAGGGGTCCCTGGCAGGTGGCCTGGCTGCACCAGACCGTCCTCGAGGCCCAGAGAGACTGCCTGGCCCGGCGCCGAGGGAGGACATCGAGGGTGGGGCTGAGGCTGCTGAGGGGGAAGGTGGCATCTTCCGGTCCACCCGTTACCTGCCTGTCACCAAGGAGGGTCCCCGAGACATTCTGGATGGCAGAGGTGGCATTTCTGGTAAGAGGGTGGGCCCTGTGGCCCCATGGGAGCCAACGCCCCCAGCCCAGCGGGGGCCGAGTTGAGATTCGGATTCCACGGGGGCCCGGAGCCTTCTCTTCGCACTCTGTTTGGCTTCCCATGTCACGGTTGTGAACACAGAGAGGCCCGGGGAGCCAGTGACCGGACCAGGGCCTCCCCGTGGGTGGTGGCAGGGAGCTAAGACTGGAGCTCAGGTCAGCCTCGCATTCTCCTCTGAGTGCGGGAATTGGGCCCAGATGCCCAGCTCGGCACCCCACGCTCCCCGCCCCGGCGCACCTGTGCCCAGGTGCAGCCCCCACCCAGCAAGTCTGTCCCCAGCTCTTGCTGTCTCCGTGTGAGTCCCGTTCTGAAGCCCTGGGCTGAAACAGCTTGTGCCCTCTAGTGGCCAGGTAGAGACTGGGTAGTCAGCGATGCCTCCCACCCCTCTGTGCCTCGATTTACCCAGTAAAAGGGTATCTGACATTCTCCACACCTCAGGATTTATTACACATGCATTAAATACCGAGCACCTGCTGTGTGCCAGGCTCTGTTCTGGGTGCTGGGAATACAACCCGAAAACAAAAGAGGCAAGAGATCCTGCCCTCCAAGGGCAGATGGACAACAGCAACTAAGCAAATACCATAAGGGCATCTGGTGACAGGTGCTATAAAACGGTTAAACAGAGTGCCAGAGTTGTGCCCGGGGACCCCGGGAAAACCTCCCTGCGAGGGTGGCATTGGAGGGGAGCATGTAACGAATGGTGGGGAGGGCATGCCAGGCAGCGAGGACGGCACGTGCAAAGGCCCTGTGGTGGGGAGGAGCCTGCTGCGTTCAAGGACCAGCTGGGAGTCTGGCGCGTGGCCAGGGCACAGCGGCCTGACGCCCCAGACCTCTCCCTTCCTCTCCCAGGCCCGCTCCAAAGGCTTTGGTTTTCCAGACCCTCCAAGCACGCGCGGAGGGGTCTCCCACCTGCCGCGCATCCCGTGCCGTTCTCACAAGAACCCTGCGAGGCAGCCTTAGTTATTTTCACCGGCACATCAGAGACGGGGAAACCGAGACCCCGAGGGGTGAAGTCAGTTGCCCAAGGTCACGCGGCTGGGGTGGGAGGCAGCTCGACCGCCTTCGCCGTTGACCGCCACGCGGCGTCCTTGCAGATCTTTGTCCTGTCCGGGCCCACCATCACCACCCGTGGTGCTCAGATGTTTACAGAGCACCTTCCTGGGGCCAGGCATGGGGGCACAGCCGGGACCAAGCACACACCACCCCTGCTGTCACGGACCCCACCGTCAAAGGCTGGGGGGGGGGAGGACAGACGTACTAGCAGGTGTTACGACGCAGGTGCGGGGACTGTGATGGGAAAGCACCTGGCTCCGGCCAGGGGGTGTCCAGGAGTCCTGCGGAAAGTGGAAGAAGTTGAATGAAGGATGATGAGCCAGACGAGGGGGAGGACAGGGGGCTCCACACGCGCAAAGGTGTGGAGGTGGCCGGTGGCACCTGCAGGTGTCAGGCAGGGGGATGGCAAGGGGAGACCCCTGAGGGCAGAGGGTTAGCCCAACAGCACCTGGGGAGCCTTAGCAATCCCCTCCTCCAAACCACCATTATCTGAGACTCAGAGGGAGGCGGGACCTCGCCCCAGGTCACTCGGTTGGCAAGGGCGGGGCCAGGACCTTGACTTTGTGGGTACAGTCTCTGGGGTCCCGGGGCTGGTTCTGAGGGACTAAGGGCATCTCTTCTCCACCTGGCAAATACCCCAGGTCTGGAAGGAAGGGAAAGGTTGCAGGTGTGTGCATCCTCACTGCCCCCCGCCCCGGGCAGTCAGCCAGGGTCTCGTGCACGCATGCATTTGACAGCCTGGGTGTGTGTGTGTGGGGTGACTGCCGAGGGTGGCCAGGCCCACCCTGAACAGTGTCCCCCAGCACGTTGGGGCAGGGGCGGGGGCAGCTTGGCTCAGAGTGGGGTCCCAGCCTGGAGGTTGGAGGAGACCCCTGAGTTTGGGGCACCGTGTCACCTCTCCCATGCTCGACCCCCCCCCGTTCCCCGATATGGACACCTGCCCGGGGAGTCTTGTGATGTCTATAAATAGGAACAGCCTCTGGGGCTGCTGTTCCCGGGCCCTCCCTCGTCCCCACTCCGCCCCCCCAGGAGGGACACCCACGGT